ATGAAGACAGACTGCCTAATGGCAAGGAAATCCAGCTAAAAATTAAAACATTGGACGGTCTACGATATTTATCTTGTTATAATAGCCACCGCTATCAGCTGTTATGCCAGCTGTTTGGATAGAAACATGTATATTTGATAACACAATATGAACTTTGTGTCATGTCTTGTGGCAGTGGCCGACAACATGCCATATGAACAGACCAGCCCCATAGTCTAGCGTAAGCGTTTCTTTATTTAACTCATATCTATTGGCAAAATAAGTTTCGTGGTTCACGTAATTCAACATTCATCAGCCAGGAGCTATTCACTGTCAAAAGGCCAGCGGCTACATTAGTTCTCCCAGTAGCGATTTCTATATGCTCCGGCGCAGCCCTAATGGCCGGCTGGGCTAATTGTTCCGTCGTTTCGGATGCTAATGCGCCGCCAGACAAGGCCTGCCAGCTCCAGAAGGCAGAGCAAAAACCCAGATGAGCCACCGGATAGCGGATCTGGGTACGTGCTGCCGCGGGACTGGCTGTGGCACAGTAGGGGAGGGGAGGATAGTCTTCTGGTCTGTGGGTGACGATACAGGGGGAGGGATAGGAGGGGAGTCGAATATAAAGACGGATATGGAGACACATATTCCTATGTATGCAATAGTTCGAATAGATATATTATGTTTGTATGACATAAGGTAAGGTTCAAAACAGCTCAAGCTCGTAAGGGATTTTTTTTTTCGTTACGAATATAAGCCGTAATGGACTTTATCCCATACGAGCCTTTTCCGCTACGAATATTTTACATATGGACCTTCGTCCTTCGCTTACAAACACTGTCCTATATGTGCAACAAGCATGTGGCGATTGGCAGATAGGCTTAAGCCTTGATGCATATAAATTTCATGAAAACTAAACTATGTGGGTGTAACAGTGAGCTTGCTTTAATTTATTTTCGTCATAGTCGATTTCTTGACGGGGTGTAAAAACCGAAGTCCACCCATCCTAACACAAACGTTTTATTTATTTGTGCTGGCTTCATTAGGTACAGTTATTCATAAGCACCGTATTAGATAGAGGCGCTGACGGAAGCAAGGACTTGGATGAGCTCAGACAATATTGTTAGAATCGACAATCATATTTGGTTGTCTCAATATAATCAGCGTAAACACAGACCAAATTACGGCCTCCCCTGTGGTCTGCCGTGACTTTAGATAGCAGGATTAGCTGCAGAAGTTTCCCAACGTCACCGCCCTGCCTGCGGCCTGGATACAGATGACGTTAGATGGAATTCCGTCTGTTTATATTTCCATACGACCTTGTGTTTTTCTGGGTGGTCTGGGCTGGTTCCGTCAGAAGCGTCGCCAGTCTGGAAATCTACCCACAGCGGCACCGTCATCGAATATGGATCCTAATGTCACAGGACTTTCCATAACGCCGCAAATGCACATTCAGAGGATTTCGTAACGATTATTATTAACATGTTGAAACCATTGGACGAATGATTTTGCAAGTTTTATTTTCAGTGCAATATCTTCAGAAATATTTCAAGCGAGCAAAAGTATGTAGAAAGAGATATTTCAGACCATCCGCTGTAGGTATGCAACACCAAGGCTGTGTTGTGCGGCATTCCACCTGTCTCGGTGGGGTCAATAAATGCCGGACCTCCAAAATAAAGTCCGCCATCACACGCTGACATGTCACCTTCACCTGGACGACCTGCCGTCAAAGAGAACCAGCCTCGTTATCGCGCCGGCAGCCGGCGGCACTGTCTGAGGTCAATAAGGTCACCTGCCGGGGTGGTTCCCCGCGACAGGCCGCCACAGCAGCGGCTCATCGGCCCGGCCCGGCGGCCAGACAGCGCGTGACAACACCTTAACCCGCGCCCTGGTGGGGTCTGTTTATAACGCGACCTGGTGGGGGGGGGGGGCTATTTTTTGCCCCCCCTCGTATCTCCGAAACTACTGGACGGATCCGCAAAATTCAAACGGCGTTCGAAAGGCCTGTCAAATTTGTCGAGGGAAACCAAATTTCATTGACCTCGGGGTCACCGATGACGTCACAGGTCAGGTCAAAGATGAAATGTTTCACCGTTCACGGGTCTTCTAGGGAATGCGCTATAACACCGAGGAAAACGCATTTTGTCGAGAATCAGCGATTGGGCGTCAGTTGCCTAGTAGATATGTTGCTATTAGAGGTCACTGACAATACCAGGTCACGTCACAGGTCAGGTCACCAAGGGTCACAGGTCAGGTCACATGAGCCCAACTTTACTAAGGTTGTGTGATGCATGTTTTATGGCCAATTTTTCATTTCCAACTCAATGGTGTTGGTTATAAGGCTATCAGGTACGGCTTAGGTCACTTTCTGGTGAAGTTCAGGTCAAGGTCAGGTCAAGGTCAGGCCAAAAAAGGTCAAATTTTAAAGTTGATAGTTTTGCATAAAATGGGTATTGATTCGATGCAGCTCGTCACGGGGAGTCTAATGGTGGTCTTTGTTTTGCGCTACGGGGTCTAGAATTGCTAAAAATTGAGTTTGAAAAGTTGACGTCATCAATTTTGAACAGTTTTTTCGCTATAACTTCGCCAAAAAAGAGGTATCAATCTCAAATTTGGTATGTGGATGGAAGGTGGTAAGGACTATCACATATATTCCGGTTTTTGCGAAATTCAAAAAACTTTTTGGATTTGTCGATCATTATATCCAAAAAATCTATTTTTTGATTTTTGGGGGTCAAAATCCAAAAATTTCAAAAATCCGAGATAGCAGTTTTGTAGCCCTGTCAATTCTACAGCTTTTATGTCTTAATCATTTTTCTGTATTTGCAAAGCTATAGGCCTGACAGCTCTTCCCGCGAGACCCTTTTTTGGGTCGAAAACGGCAGAACATGACGTCACTCTGACGTCACTTCCGGCCAACCTATCATAGCCTTTGGAAAAATTTTTGGTCACCATGTGTAAAATTGATGTCCGGGAGGGTACTGAAAGTTTGGTGACGATCGGCGCAGCGGTTCTGGAGATATATCGAAAAGTCTGGAGGGGGGGCAAAAAATAGCCCCCCCCCCCACCAGGTCGCGGGTTAATAGTTAATTGTATTTGGTATGGAGCTCGCACGAAATCGACCGACCAATTACGAAACAATCTAGATATGACGGAAAATGATGTGACGGCTGTTGTCATTGCGCTGCTTTAACGAGCGCTGAATTAAAATCGATACATAAATCCTCTGCTGTATAATAATTTGTCGCACATGAAAGGACGGAATGGGGACATCTAAGCACCTTCATCGAAACGAGTCATTGTTATGGCCGACACCGTTCAATTTGAGGATGGGGAACAGTGAGGTGAGTTTGTCCATCGGCCCGGGATATAACGGGGCAATGTCATTAAAATATCCTGCCGGTTCGGATCACGCTGTCAACTGTCGGCTTGTTTCCAGGTGACAAGATATGTGCCCAGTGCCCCGTTCCAATACGAACTTCGATTTAAAAGGCACTCTGCACCAACAGGTCAGCAGAAAATCAAGCGAGAAGATTCAAACTATTCGACAAAACTTACCACCGAACACCCGTTGATCGGTTCCAGATGCCGCTGACACACATCGGCAAAGTGCCGTCTGGGATTTCTGCCTTTGCGGAGCATGTCACCCATGGATGTGAAATTAATATGAATCACAACCACATTGTAGACAGCCCTCCCCATTCCCCAGCGTCGGTACTCACCCGCTGTCTGTGCGTTCACCGCCCTCCGTCCCTCCCCGGCTGGCGAGACGAGCCCGACTGCCGACACGGCGGGTCGACGGGCGGTAGTCGCCCGAGTGTAGCCGCCGCCGGCGCCGGCCGCGCAGGGTCGATCCAGAGGGAGCCGCCGTCGCGTCGGCCCGGCGCCGCCCTCGGCAACAGGTGGCCGACGCTGGCGCCGGCTGGTGGTGACCCGGAGAACTAGAGCACTGGTGGTCAGTAAAACTGTGGTGAGGCAATTGTAATGTTACCGGTGATTCAGGATAAAATTGCTTCATAAGTTAAAACTTCACACAGGGCGCCTGTCATGTGCCTGGCGCACATGTCTCATGTGAGCGCCGATCAGCTGACCAGCGAACTCCACCGAGCGCTGACGAGCTCCACCGTGCGTTGTCGGATCGTATCGACAGTGTCGAAACGGAGCGATCAGCGAACTGCGGTCAGCCGCTCAAGGTGGTTTCCAACAGGTTATCTCAGCAGTGGGTGGCTGTCTCCTCATTCGACTAAGTACTTGCTTTAGGTATGGAGGGCGGGTAGGTATAACAGATTTCCCCGGTGAGGTGCGGTGTCTTGGAAACTTCCCGTACCACACCAGAGCCACTCCGGGTTCCCAGTTAAGCCGACAAACTTTGTTGGGTGGAAGCTCAGCTCTGCCTCCAGAATCAGATGTCGTCGTATCGACACAACTCGTCTGGGCTCAGACCGGATGAGGGAGACGGCACCCTGAGCCCGACAATCACGGTCAGCCCGGAGTGGCAGTATTCAGAGCCCGCAGTGCCACCGTTAAACCGTTCACCCGGTCCCAGACTCAGACACGGCCGTGTAACTCAGACACACGGCCGCGCCCACCGCCGCTCCGCCCTGTGAGCCGTGCTGTCGTGGACGGACCGCGAGTTCCAGACCCCCGGGACGGAGTTTACCGAGCCGTCTGGCCGTCCACAGCCCGCCATCGATCTGTGCCGACCGTCCCGACCTTGCACCGTGACGGGCCGCGGCTGACTGACCGGCGGGGGGCTGCACTCGCACGGAACAGTGGAGTGAGCCAGACGCCACTACAACGGCAGCCAGCGGCAGGTCTGCACTGCAGCATACCAGTCGTACGGCATCCCCAGATGCCGCCGGCAGACCCGTCAGCCCAGAAATCCCCAAAATTTGTCACTGGTCTGCCTGCGGTCCGCCGGCAGTGTCCCGTCGCCAGGCCTCAGTACCCCACACAGCAGCGGCGACTCACAGCATCGATCCGTCGTCCGCCGAGCCGCCGCCGGGCCCCGTGAGAGAAACAACGGTTAGCAGTCGTGTTATTTACACATAAGAATATCATGATACAGACATCGCCGGTCAAATAAAGATCACGGGCAGCGGCGCCAGGCGAAACGAACAGAACGTGGGGCCGTAGCTGACGCGGCGCCACAGCGCAGCTCACTAGACACATTGGTTTTCGACGGTTCGAAGTTACAAAGCCGGAAACACACATATACGATTTGTCTATCTGAAGAGCGCGATTCCCACAAGATGCCGAAATAATCGTTTCGATGTACCGTTTACATAGGCCGGATCGATAACACATCACCAGTGTCGTACACATCCGTTTGATACCGCGCGCCGGGTAATATCACGAACTCAGAGACACGGCGCACACATATGACCCCGCTCCCTCCCTGTGACCTCACAAACGGCGCAGTACCGTGGGCCGCTCCGTTCCCCGGGGGTGTGTGGACACTGAACCAGTCGCGAGCGGTGCGTACCGGAGGCGGAGGGCAGCCGGTCAGCGGGGCAGGGGACGGGCCGCGGCACCAGACCACCCCGTGAGATGCGGTGGAAAATCCACACCGAGCGAGGCCACCGCGACACCGCGGGGCTCGGAAAATCCAGTGGGCCTCTCCGCGCCGCGGACTGGCTTCCCTCCGTGGGACTTCCCCGTGTATTTTTCAGCGGTCACCGCGCACCCATCACATCTCGCCCACCCGGGTCACCTCAGGTGGACCACCCCACAACAATCAGTGACACGACCGCCCTCAGCGCCGGCCCCAACAAAACATAACGCCAGCCGGCAGAGCGCAGCGCAACACATACCAACGACCAGGCACGGCACGGCACTCGAAGCACCGCGAAGCGACGACAGGGTGTGACTACTTCCCTCTCCCGACTCTCTCTGCTCCCGGTGGGCGGCCCTCTCTCTCCGACAGCGCGGAGACATCGGCCAGGCTGCTCTTCCAGCGGCGACAATCACAGATTAACGGCGCGCCAGACGGTTCGGCTCGGACGCGCGCTCACTACACAACGGTCAGAGGTGACAGAACTGACAGAAAGATACGATAAAACAAACGTGATTTTACAAGACAAACTATCACTGAAAATATATCTCTAGCAAGACGATAAACCCAAGAACCATTATGAACAAAATAGCTAGATCCTCTGTGATTTCCCAAACCGCGTACACCGTCGTTCGGTCGATTTCTGCACCTCTGTTCAGATCAGCTGTGTTCCGCAGCCTCGCCCACTCAGTGCGCGCAGGAAGCGGGCCGCCCGGACATCGCGCGTCGGCATAATACGTCTAGCGGCTATCGACAGTTAAATAGCGAGGAGCGGCCCGCGCGCCGGGCCCGGGACGGCGCCTAGCGGCACTCCCACACTTTGACCGTCTGGTCGACGCTGCCCGTCACCACGTACGGCGCGTTCGGGTGCATGTCTGAAACACAGCGGGCAGACGCACCCGGTTAGATGACGTCGAGGGTGGATTAGATAGGCTGGACTACTGACAGGTCATCGACGACAGAGGGATATAGCGGGATATGAAGGTAGTCAAATGTCACAGTCGAGTCCAGTAATGACCAACAACAGAGCCCTGTTCGGGCAGCGCATCCTATTGCAAAATTTTGCACCACGCATGCGCAGTTGGGGTCTGTCGGGTGCCAAGCTCCGCCGTTCGGCGTATGACGTCACACGTGTGACGTAGGCTCGCGCAAAATCTTTCAGTTTTGCGCAAGAAGAAAATAGTAGCTGCAGGAGGCGAAAGTGGCGCGGATTAAAGTTTACCCTCATATATTTCTTATTGTAAGTGGTTAGTATGGTGTTGTTTTGGTATCATTATCTTTCTTTTCAGTGGCACATTGCTATTAACCACATTTGAACGCATTTTACTTAGTAACTGAACGAAACACACCAGTCCATCCGCGCCACGGTTCGCCGCGTGTCGCGTGGCCCTCGGCCTTGCGAACCGGCGGAGAGGGGGCGGAGCATGGGCGGAGCCAGGCGGCTGACATCATCGCATGTGTGACTTCACACTCAGCAAAATATTTTGCGCGGACCCGAACAGGGCTCAGGATTTCACCAACGTCATTTCATTGACTTGATTGTTACCGCTGAAATAGTAGCACTATGTGTCGTTTTCATTCCAGTTTTCATTCCATGCACTTTGAAACATTTGTCCGCGTTAACCCGCGCCCGGCTGGGGGTCCTGGATTTCCACGCCCTGCTGGGGGGGGGGGGGTGTTTGAACACCCCCCCTTCTAACTCGGCTCCTGGGCCACGTAGCGATACGCGGAAGGCGGCGTTCGAAAGAGCGTCAAAAATAATGACGAAATCACTTTGGTCACTTTTTTGGTCAGGTCAAAGGTCAGGTCACCAGAGGTCATTGAAGGCAAAATTTCGCCGATTTCCAGGTCGAATGTCGACAATTTCCAAGAAGCCAGCGCATAACTCGGGAACCAATAGAGCTACAGCGCCGCGGAAAAGCGCATTCGATAGCTCTATTAACGCTCTTTCTGAGCAATTCTCTCAGATTTCACCTAACGTCAACGGTTTTGCCTGCAGGGGGCAAAAACTGCAAAAATAGCCGATTTTTCCAGAAACAGTTTTTCTGCAATAACTTTTGACCCAAGCCTTGTACGAGCTTACTTTTACCGGCATCGTATTCCTCTCGTCAAGACGCATCGAATGAACTATAATTTGACCTTGAAAGGTCAACTTGAAAATTTGACCTCAGGTCAAGGTCATGACCTGACCGAAAAGGGTCATGTTGAATATCAGTCGATCCGTATCGTTGAGCTGAACACATCTAAGGCGTTTTCATCGCTCTAGCATGCCTCTATCAAAAGTTATTTGCGAAAAACTGTTAGATACCATTCGTGACCTAAGATGACCTCAGGGCATATACAGGGGTCACGGACACCCTTTTCATGTTCAGTGTGTCTAAACCACTTGTAATTCAGTGTTTGGGAGTGTTTATAATGTCTTTCGTCCAAAAGCGCCGCATTTCAATTTTCTCCCATTGACTTATAATGGGGAGGTCGCAAAATTGACCTGACCTTAGGTCATCGATATCAAAAATCTGAGATATACATTTTGTATATGCTATTGCTCTTAGCAATCGCTGAAAGTTTCAAAGCGATCGGTCACTCGGTGTAGCTATGACAGACATTGAAACTTTTTATGAGGTGAGGTCACAACGCGCCCCCAGCAGGGCGCGGGTTAAAATCCCATTTGAACTTTCTAAAGGTCGCACGTCGCTTGCCCATTGCGAAGCTATTCTTAGACGCAAACTTAATGCCTCAACAAAAGGCCATCAAAAATGAATGGGCAAAAGGGCACGGCATCCTGAATTAACGATCGTGATAAATGACGGCACGTTGATATCTATTGTCCGATACAGTCACCTATTTGGGTGCACCGGCAATCCATTATTCACCGCCTTCAACACCCACACCACAATGACTCCGATCAAGTACATCCCTATCGCGGTGATGGTCATCTCGCGACAAACCCTCTGCCACGGCACCAGCGTGCAGACTCAAACTCAGCTCCAACTCTGACTCCGACTCCGACTCGGAACACCCACCTATGGAGCTGCAGAAGTGCGGGTGCGCCTCCAGCGTACGGTGGCACCGTTTGTTCTTGATGCTCCAGATGCGGACGGTCTTGTCATCGGAGGCCGAGAGCAGGTACTGTCCGCCCGGGTGGAACACCAGGCCGCGCACCCAGTTATCGTGGCCGATCAGAGTGATCAGACACTGGCCCGTGCCGACGTCCCAGATCTGGCGCAGAGAGATAGACAGACAGGCTCAGTGGAAAGCGGACAGACTCAGTAGACAGTACCAGATCAGTGTCAGCAGACAGTGCTCGTGGCGACGTTCCAGATCTGACACACAAACAAACACAATAACATGTATAGGTGTATCCAATCATGGACATTCCACATGGGCGACATCACATCACATGGCGTGAACAGGCATTCGCCCGCCGACATTCCAAACCGCCCATCTCCCACCAGTCCACCTTCCCTCCCGCCTCTGCACCTCCCTACCATCCCACCCCCGCGCCGTCGCGCCGCCGCCTACCTTGATGGTCTTGTCGCGGGATCCGGAGGCCAGGAAGGGACCCTGATGCGCAGAGTGCTTGTTGTCGCCGCCGGCCGCCTCCGTGATCTGAGGGACCGCTGAGGCCGGCGCCCAGGCCAGGCACTCGACCACGTGCTCGTGCTCACGGAGCTCCATCTGAAAAGGGAGGGGCACAGGTCAGGTCAGACTGTCAAGTCACAGGCCAAGTCACCACAGAAATGCCGCCCGAGGGAAATGTCACGTCAGGGATCACAGGTGACCATATGCCTAAGTCATAGGTTATAGACTCGGTGTGCGTAGCCCAAACAGACCGAGCCCGTAACAGCAAAGTTTATATCTTTATGCTTGCTCATTGTTGGCTCCAGCTAGTGTGTTAAAATCCAAAACAGAGTGATGTGATCTCGTCCCCGTAACGTTGGTCAGGGGACGTGAGCGGCCAGTAGCGCTGTCCCAGGTCGCAGCTCCGCTCCGCTCTGATACCGCTCCAGTCCCCAATACTGCTCTCCGCGGGCCGGCGGGCGGCCGGGCGGGCGGCTCACACGGGCCGGCAGCCGGGACAAATTAGTCCGGTCCCGCGGGCCGTGTCGATTACGTGCTGACGGCTGGTCCACCGGGACAGCCCCCGCCAGCCGCCCGCCGGCGGGCCGGAATAATGGCACCGACGGCCGCTCATCAGCATATCGCGGCGCGCTCGTTACGGACCGGCCCCGTCCGCTGGCCTCAGCCAGCCGACAGTGGGGCGACGCACAGCCGGGCCGTTTATAATACGCAGGAATGGAGCATACGGCGCATAGTGATACATAGACGGTAATGAAGCTACCACTATCAGCTACGACACATACCTCATAACATAGTTATAACGCCACACAGACAAAGGTTATCATATCACAAACAGCTGTAGTAGCGTAGATGATGCAGGCCGGACGTGGGTCAGTGCCACAGTAGAGGACGAAAGCACATGTGATAATACGACTGTGGGAGGGCGTATTAACCTTGTGGGAAGTGTTGGTGCTGACGAGTGTTGCAGACCTCACAGTCGGGATGAAATGTTTCAACATACCAGCACAGAGCGGCCGGCCAGCCACTGGTGCCACTATCGATCGGCCGGACAGTCAACGGCGTCTGTCCGTCCCGCTCGCCCCGCCCGGCGCGGCTCCTACCTCACACTCTGGGGCGTTGAACACCCAGAGGCGACTCCTTACACTCCTTGGTGTTGATTACCCTGAAGCGACGCCTACCTTACACTGCTTGGTGTTGAGTCGCGACTCCTACCTTACAATCTTAGGTGTTGAGCACCAAGACGCGGCGTCTCCTACCTCACACCCATTGGTGTTGAGCACCCAGAGGGGACTCCTACCTTACACTCCTTGGTGTTGAGCACACAGAGGTGACTCCTACCTTACACTCCTTGGTGTCGAGCACCCAGAGGGGACTCCTACCTTACACTCCTTGGTGTTGAGCACCCAGACGCGCACGGTCTGGTCGTTGGAGCACGAGGCCATCAGCTGTCCGTCCGGGTGCACCCGCACCATCCGCACCCACTCCCGGTGGCCGGTGAACGTGCGCACACAGTACCTGAGGAAGGGGAAGTAGGGGTGAGAACTGAACGCACCATCCGCGCTCACTCCCGGTGGCCGGTGAACGTGCGCACACAGTACCTGACAAGGGGAGGCCAGAATTAGCTACACCGAGTACCAGACGAAGAGATGCGTAATTTTTGCTAGGGAAACGTGTGTCATGAGTAAAACAGCAAAGAAACGTATAACGAGCAAAATATTTCGTATGATATTGCTGAAACATAAAAACTGGCACCTGAGTAGAGGTGAAAACCACTGTTTTCAGCGCAGTTCACGGGCTGCCCTGACCTCTACCCATACGATACGTCTGAGGTTATAACTCGCAGCAGGCGGAGCTCCCTGCTCCGTGAAACCGTGCCTCACGAGCCCATTTATAAGGCCACGAAAGGCCACCAGGCCATTGAAGGTCACAACGGCCGTCCGTGGAAATCGCCAGACGCTAAAGGCCTGGCTACACTACGCGTTTTCTGCGTGCGTTTTTTTTTTGCGGGTTTGCGTTTTTTTTGCGTAGTATCGTTCTAGAAAAACAGGTGTGGCATAACTTTTACATTACTTATATACAAAAGTTAATATAACTCTTATAGGGTAACTAAAATTTAACACAAAAAACGGGATATCGCTTTTTCTAGGACGATAGGTATTACACAAAACACGCAAAACCGCAAAAAACGCACGCAGAAAAAGAATAGTGCAGCCAGGCCTTAACACGTAATGGTTCACCGTCCATGGTCAGAGCCCAACCGTCAACAATCCACCGTCCAACGGAAAACCATCCACTGTCTACCATCCACAATCCACGGCCACTTTGTCTGACTGTAATTAATTATCCATCTCTAAACCGGAACACCACCTACTTATCCACCGTAAAGCGGTGAACACCGCGTCAATCCACCTCAGACGGCAGAGTGGGCCGCTCGGAGCACCCTCTCTCTGTGTCAGATTCCACTCTTTACATTGAGAGGGGTCTGTGCTGCCCAAACCTCCATCGCTCTGTGCCCGACGCCCCTCAATACATACGGCACAACCGGCAGGCTGCAGCCGGCGCATTGATGGTGAAGCCTCGCTAATAAGGCAGAGCCTCAGGACTATAGAGGCTTACAAAGCTAGCGTAGCGTGCCTTGTAAGAGCAGCTAACGCTTTGATCACCTCTGTTTACATGGCGCATATTCTCTGAACAAGATCGGGAAACCAATCTCGATTGTTCTCGAATAGCCTGAAGAACCTAAAACGGCAGCAAACAATGGGACAGAAAGCAGAACATTGGCCGCCTCCCCGGAGACAGGGTTCAATTAGGTGAGTAAACAGGCTCAAAGGAAACAGACCACAGAGACCGGCAGCGGACAGACATTGATACTTATTGATTGCAGACGGGACGGCAAACATCCAGTAACAAACCTGGCCCGGATAAAGCCACTCACCCAATAACCCACTGAGCCCAGGGAAAAACACACGGCCAGCACCCTACTGAGAGCCCGCGATGACTGCAGTCACCCAGAACCCAGAGACCCCAAGGTGACTGCACTGCACTCATGCTGCACTTACCCGGTGGCCACCTCCCACATTTTGATGGCCTTGTCGCGTGACGAACTGAGGATAAAGTCCCCCGCCGGGGTGAACGTCACACTGGAGACGTTGTGGTCGTGGCCGTGCATTGTCTTCAGGCACTCGTAGTGGCCAGAGAAGCTCCACAGCTTGATGGACATGTCGGCACTACACGACACTGAAAAAAACGGGGTCAAAAGGTCACGACCGGGTCATAGGTCACAGGTCACTGTGAGTTTAGGTTATACGGCTAGACACTAAGCCGACTGCATCTGTAGCAAGGCGATGAGGTGCCTGAGTTACGCAATAATGCATTGCAGCAATATCCGACTTATGAGTGTCATTTGGAAGAACGAGAAATCTTGAAGCGGAGCCGCGCTCGGTGCCTCTCAAATTTCCGGTGTGACCGAAATACTCGGAGCGGCGCCATGAGTACAGACTGCTCCGCTGCAACTTCAACTTAGTGTCACTTTCTGGGAACCCAAGTCTGTTCATTTGGGCCGCCCCCGCCGGCGCGATCGGCGAATTAAGCCGGACGGCTCCAATCGGCCCGCAGCAGGAGCCATCAGCGCCGGGAACGGGCGGCCATCAGTGGAGCCGCACCTGGCGGCCCGGAGCCGGCCGGCCGGCCGACCCCGGCTGAACTGATTGAGGAACCGCCGCCCCAGCGCACACGCCGCCAGAAAAGGCTGATTAATGGTCCAACTGTGCGCTGCAATTTATATGGGGCCGGCCGGCCGGCCGGGCAGGGTCCGGGCGGGGTCCGAGCGGAGTCTGGGGGCTGGCCAGGGTTTCCGGGCGGGGCCGCGCGGACTCCGGGCGGCGGCCGGTCGGGAGTCACGAGTTATCGCCGGCCGTTGAGGAGCGATGGTCGGCCCTCCGGACATCGACCGCGGTCATCACCAAGTCGACGCCGGTCAACGGGGGCCGGCCGGCCTCTCCGACCGCGGCACAACTCGCAGACTCCGACAGCGGCGCTCTCCGACCCCCGCCAGGCAGGAGCGGCGCGGCGCCACTTAGACAGGCCTGCCACCGCCCCGAGAGCAATTCAGTGCTCCGGATTAGAAGCACTTAAGGACAAAAAGAAAATAAATTACCCGAGGCAAAAGTCTGGTCCCAGGGTGCTGAACTACAAATGCGTTCCTTTTTGTGAAAGACAAAGTTTCCCCGGCAGTTCTCTAATTGCATAAGGCGTTCAGGTTCCGAGCTCTGATGGAGCAGGCTGTCACACTGCCCGGAGTCGCAGTCAGCGGGGGGGTGGTCCGTCTACCAACTACTGTCAGTGGTGTGGTCTGTACTGGTCAGCGGGGTATGGTCCTTTACTGACTGCTGTCAGTGATGTGGTCTGTACTGGTCAGCGGGGTATGGTCCTTTACTGACTGCTATCACTGGTGTGGCCTGTACTGGTCAGCGGGGGAGGTCCGTTTATCGACTGGCTGTCAGTGGTGTGGTCTGTACTGGTCAGCGGGGGGTGGTCCGTCTACCAACTGCTGTCAGTGATGTGGTCTGTACTGGTCAGCAGGGGACGGTCCCGTATATCGGGTCTGGTCGGCAATGGTCCGTTAATCCGCTGCTGTCAGTGGTATGGACTGCACCAGAGTGGCCCGTGATGACGCCCGGGGCCGCGCCGACCGGCCGGCTAACTCACCGGTGGCTCACTCCGAATGTCGGCGGAAAATTTACACTGATGCATATCACTCCCCGCGGAGCCACCGGGCCGGTCCAGTCCGCTGAGCTGTCCGGCCTGAGCTATGGCGCCGGGCCGCCGCGCTCCCAGCCGGCCGCAGACCAGACGGCACACACGTGTCGGGATGCAAAGTGCCGCCATCGGCACCGACATCGCCCCGTTCATCAGATAAAGCGGCACCTTCCGACGTAACGTCGGGTGAAGGCATGCCACCGCATAACGCATGCCCATCTAATTTACTCTAAATTCTGCATCGCGCTGGTTGCTCTGCATTCAAATCTTGGAGCAAAAATAGCCTTTTAGCCTGTCACAGAAGCACTTTGTGAAAATACATTTTCAGCAGTGGGTTCTTTAGACTTCCACAATATCCTCTGGCGCTGCTGAGCTCGGCTGTATCTATCCCTGACGGTCCGTAGGAGCCCCGGGCAGCTCAGGGTATCCGCTACTTACCGAGGAAGCTACCCGTGTGGTCAAAGGCCAGGTCCTGGACGCTGTCCGTGTGACCCTTCAGCGTGCGCTCGTAGTCGCCCGTCTCAAAGTCCCAGACCTTGATGGTAGCGTCCTCACTGGCAGACACCACCAGACTGTAGAGCGGGTGGAGCAGCACCTGGGGACGGGCAGAAACACGGACTCTTCAGTCTACAGCATCGTCAGGGGGCGCACACACACACACATGCCATCTCAGCTCAGAGCTCTGTTATGAGCTGAGATGGACTATCCCCCTCAGAGCGGAGCATGCTACTCAAAGCTCTGCTCTGAGCTCAGCCAACAGCTCTGCTCAGCTCTCGGTCCCCAGAGGACACTGTGCGACAAAGGTAAGTCTATACAGCAGCGATATTGAAGCCTATAGCGCCGTGAGCCACCTCAGTACCCGCCGGGCCTCAGTAAAAACTTCAAAGGGAGTCGGGGAGAGCCGGGGCGCAAATGCAGTTTTCGACATTGAAAGAGCTCGCTGTGTACTCTGGGCGCCGTTCGAAATTGGCCGTAATTGTCGCCCGCACGGGGAGGGACGCGACGCCGAGCCGAATTTCCCGTGGGTGACCGGGCTGTAAACAGAATTCAGCTCGGCGCGGCCCTCTGAGAGTTCGGTCCCGACTGAAGGCGACACTGGGTGAGCGCGGCTGCCACTCCCAGTGACGGCCGGAGCCGGAAGGGGGAGGCGGGGGAGGTGGGAGAGGCGGGGGGAAGGCGGTGTCGGCGGGACGGACACTGGTCAGCGGCGACACCGTGCGTGTGAGGCGGTCAGTGACACGACACGCTGCGTGCGTGACACACGACACAATAAAAAACCTTGACAATGTAACATGAACCCATCAGTGACACTGACACGAACCAATTAAACACTGACACGGAGTGATCAGTGGGACTGATACCGACAGATAAGTGACATCTACTAACACAGAACTATCAGTGCGACTGACACGGACCGATCAGACAATGGCACGGACCAATAGACACTGGCACAGACCAGCCACGTGCAAAGCCACCAGTGACACTGACACGGGCATTTTAGTAACACTGACACGGACCGATCCGCTTCATTCGCAAATAGCGTGAGTAATGGGCGACCGCGTGAATATGAGGCGCGTAGCAGCGGTGGTTTCACTCTTTGTTAAGGGAAAATTCCCACACATCCGTCTCAGCGAAGTTAATGAAGCTCAACGCAGCAATCTACCCCGTATAGAAGAAATTAGCAATGCTCTTTTATTAAGCATAAGTTATGGGCTCGTTCCAGCAATGCAATGTTGTTGCCATGCTAAGCAGAGTACTTACTCAGGCTTGCATAAAACGCAAGACAGAACTGTGCTCATAGTAATGTCAAAAGTTACGAAAAAGTTGAGCAAGCAGCAAGCTCTGAGACTTACTTTAATGGGTTCTGAAGCTTCAACTAGGAGCAGCATATTCAAAAACAACCGGCAATCACATAGCTGTTGGACTCATAATACCACTGCGCTCGCCGAGCTCTAATACAAAATCAACAGTGCACATACCACTTGAAAGAACATACAATCCCCTGGTGCGGTAGATGAAACGTTGTGAAACGAAATCAGCGCAATGCAAGACGACGCTGCCAGCAATAATATTGTGAAATTGAACAGCCGGTGTCTTAGCCAGCGATGTTGATGCTCTTCAGCGCCGCGTACCCGTACGCCAGGTGACTTTTACAAATAGTTAACTGATCGATGAAGGTCATCAAACCGACAGCCATATCTTTGGGAGCGAACAGCATCCATTCAGGCGCTTCTCTGTCAATATATAGCGCAGACAGGGGCACCGGTGCCACTGCCCAAGATGCTCCCGAAGTGGGTATCACACATAGTATCATATGACAAAGTTGCAAGGTGGCCCATTCACAGAGGGTGCCCTCGAAACCAAAGTGAGGTCCATATAACTAGTATAGTTAATTGTTGTGACGTATATTGAGACCGAAAGGAAACACCGTGAGCAGAATGAGTCGTGGTGTGACTGGTATGTATACGGTATACACTACAGGCTTTGTATTACACACAAGGTTGGAGGAGCCTTTCTAGCCATCTTCCGCGAAGGGTTTGCGGTCGCCAGCCGGCAGCTGGGGCGGGGCGGGAGGAGTGGGCCGATGTCCCAGTCATGGGCCGGCCGATCGATCCACCGCGCCCCGTCCCGACTCCGACCCGTCTGTCTGTCACCGTATCGACCACTGCATCGTCGGGCCACGGTCAAATACAGCGGCAGTAACGGACCACGGTCAAATACAGCGGCAGTAGTCGGTCAAATACAGCGGCAGTAGCGGACCACGGTCAAATACAGCGGCAGTAGTCGGTCAAATACAGCGGCAGTAGCGGACCACGGTCAAATACAGCGGCAGTAGTCGGTCAAATGCAGCTACAGTAGCGGGCCACGGTCAAATACAGCGGCAGTAGCGGACCACAGTCAAATACAGCGACAGCCGTCTGGCCACGGCCACATACAGCGGCAGTAGTCGGTCAAATGCGACAGTAACGGGCCACGGTCAAATTCAGCGACAGTAAGGGGCCACGGTCAAATTCAGCGACAGTAGCGGGCCATGGTCAAATGTAGCGACAGTAGCCAGCCACGGTCAAACACAACGACAGTAGCAGGCCACAGTCAAATACAGCAACAGCGGGCCGGTCAAAAACAGCGACAATAGTCGGTCAAATGTAACGACAGTAGCGGGCCACGGTCAAATGTAGCGACAGCAGACTGTCAAATACAACGACAGTAGCGGACCACAGTCAAATACAGCAACAGTGGCGGGCCACGGTCAAATGTAGCGACAACAGTGGCCACGGTCAAATGCAGCTACAGTGGGGGTCGGTCAAATACAGCAGCATTACGGGCCGGTCAAATACAGCGACACACGAACCGTAGAACACGCGTAAGACAATGGGAGACTGTTCAGTGCTGACATTCACAAGTCTCCGTGTGGTCAGTCAGTGGAGATTTTTTTTAATTTTTTTTTTAATTGTTAGAACACTATATACACGGCAGTGGTACGAAGCGTTTTCGGCACCCGCTACGCGGGACAGCCTTGACCGCACGCTTCCTGTCACGCACCCCAGGTGGCATCGCATTGGTGCGCACGCTGGGGCTATCCCGATTTCTCGGGCCCGGCAGGTCAGAGGGCTGCTCCGGGACATGAAGCGAGGCCGTGCCCTCGGGACATGTCACCGGACCGAAGGATCAAGCCCGTGTACCTGCGGCCGGGGGCGCTGGCTGGCACAGCGTTAAAGGAAATAGTTCACTTTTAACATGGGGTTTTGAACTGGAATAGCAGTTTCGTAGCTTGAGCTGAGACTAGCACAAATCAGGAGCTTTTACGGCTCAATGATCACCCTAGACGAAGATATTCCATTTCTCGTTCCGAAAAGAGTGCCTTGCAGAGGAATGTGTGCCTTGCACAGGAATGCAGCCACGTCATCGTCAGCCAATCAGCATGCTGCTTACAGCCAATGCAGTATGCGTAGGTTTGAACTACGCGATATGATTGGTCAACGCGTAATAAGCTTCCGCGTCAAACATTATTTTACGTAGAATATAGTTCGTCCTATAATAAAATATAGAAAAAAATGTTTTTACAAAAAGGTTTTATTTTATTTCATGATCATTTTGAGCATAAAAAATCATAAATCAATAGCAAAATACTAATTTCAGGAAAGTGAACTGTTTCCTTTAATCCCCACGACCGAGCGAACACTCCCCAGTTACTGCCATCTCCTGGGTAGGAGCCGGCCGAGGAAAACGCTGCCAGAGGTCAGCTTTGATCCAAGGACCTCCCACACCAATCGTGAACGCACTTGCCAACTGCGCCACAAGGGTGGTCAGTCAGTGGAGATAGGGTCAGGTCGCCAAACCAAGGAGAGTGCCGAAAAGGTCAGATTCAGCAGGCCGGTTCCGAGGTGGTCGCACTCACGCAATACGATTAGAATATTGGTCAATCCTGCTAGCGGTCAGACTCTGAGCAACTGGCCACAGGCAGATCCCCACATTCAAGATCGTAGATGCTATGAAGCTCATCCGATCTTCCCGTTCCATGAGCGATGTTAGTGTTGTAGTATGAATAAATACCGTTTGACTCGTGGAAAACACACCGTGCAAGCCCAACCCACATTCTGCGGCAGTTGCACGTCAAAATAGTCCGCAACCCCCCGGCCTTTGGCGTCCAGCGTCGCTCGCCGAGCACCTCTGCTCCATTTCAAATAACGGTATAGCGACGCCTTTGAGAGCCGATGTGATGTAGATTGCGGAGTAAGCGGCGGCAAGATGTAACGAGGTGTCATTGGGAAGGACAGAGGGTGCGCGACTCGATCCTGTACCGTCCTCTGCCACTCTCATCACGCGCGGAGATCATAGGATGATGTGCAATTCGTAAAACTGAATGACTTTGAATTCGATCACGACGTCACCGGGAACACAGTGATCGCCGTTAGTTTTACAAGCATAAAGCAAATGTCATCACTGACGAAGACTTCCTAGCATTTGCTTATTTAACCATCACTAGAATTAAGCAAATGAACAATGCAATTCGTACAAGCGCCGTACAGTAAAGTGAAGATGATGGAAATGTAAGAAACTGCTCCTTTGAACCGAGCTCCAGGGCGGTCGCGGCAGCCCGTCTCGTGCTCTGATCTGGAGGGATTCGGGCCGCGCCCGGAGAGCGTCATTGATCTCCCTATACTACGCCGTCGGTGCGGCTCTTTACTCATTAACACCGGCAGGATAAGGGGCTGGACGAGCGGCCGCCGCCGGCACCCATCAGCCCACCGAGCCGGACCCTGAGGCGGCCGAAACTGGGAGGACAGACCCGAGACGGCGGCCGTCCGTCTATGGAGCACTCAGTCGGCGGTGAGCGAGAGCCGACTGCGGTACAGCATCCTGCACCAATCCGACATCATCATTTTAACAGGTTTACTGCCATATTTAAGCACAGTTTAAGCAAATTAATCGGTGAATCCAGCCTAAACCGTTAAATGTTCATTAAATGACGGATGAAACCGGCAGATGTAACCGATAAATCAATGCAGAAAGCCGCGATACTTACACTTAGCATCGAAGGAAAATAAATTAAGCCCACAGGCATATGTCGTGCATTTCGTGAGAGGACAAAACAGAAAAATGGCTGATTATTAAGATGTTATCAATCAGAGTACCTACTTTAGTGATGGGCGCACGGTGGCCGGTGAGCGAGTACCGCTCGGGCGGCCGCAGTACTTACTTTAGTGATGGGCGCGCGGTGTCCGGTGAGCGAGTACCTCTCGGGCGGCCGCGGGATCCACTCGGCAGGGGATCGTTTCTCTCGTGTCGGCGCACCGGACAGGTACTCTCGCTCACAGTCGGCCAGCTTCGCCTCCAGCTCCATGTTCTGGCACACAGACACACACACAGAGGTGATGAGGGGGGCTGACTGGCCCCATGTCCTAGGGGCTGACACTGGCACAGCTACACTGCCCCACATGGGAGCGATAAAATCACGATTTAAAAACAAACTGCAAGGTCGTCGGACTAATCAGGTAATTTTCAATACTAGGCAAGGCAATACTCAGGCAATACTAGTGTCAGTGCCATTCAACTGTGATTTTAACTGACATTTTATGGAATGATAATGACAGATGTCCACAGCAGCTAGCAGGAAGAGGACCACCCTAACTGATTAGCCCCTTTGGAACTGTTACCCTTTTCTGGAGGCGAAGCACAGCAGTCCACTTTTTCTCCAGGATGCCATTGTATTTCTTTTCCACTTCACCAGGCATGTCTGTCTCCCTTTTGAATGCCTCCAGTGAGTCAGTGTAGCCATTGCTGCTCAAGTAATCAGCAATGGCCTTGTTTCTGAAAGCAATGACATGGTATGAAGTATGAAAATAAATAGGCAACAAATAGGCATGTGCTGACTGAAGAAGTTGTTTTGCAGAGCAGCAGGAGCCCATTTTTTCGGAACAAAAGCCTAATTTCATTTAACCTTATTTACAATTGCTAATACAATGCTTACTACACAATATGCAAAACTTCCAGGAAATAAAGAGATACATTTTGACTGGCTGTAAGAACATCTTTATTGCAGCAATGTAACAAACTAACAAATGATTACTGATTGACAAAACATGCCTACTTTCCTTTAGGGGGAGGGGGAGGATTTACAATGCAAGTAAGTCAGTCAATAATATCAAACAGTTTCTATTAGATGTACATATGTACTTACAATTCCTCTCTTTGCCTCTGGGAGAGAACCATTTTCATTTTCAGGAGTTCACTGGTTCATGCTGTAAAAAAAGTTGTATCAAACAGCTGTGGGAGTAAGTAACATGAGAAAACCTTGGCAAAAATCTTGCTTATCTATCATATCTTAGTTTTCTACTTCATCTATATGAAATTAAATATAGACATACAAGAACAAGCAGTAGCATGCAGATGTCTTTATTGAAGAACTCTTAGGTTAAAAAGTAAACTATAAATCATAATTGCCTACTATCTATATTACTATTTGAGGAGGGCGTAGTTTCTGTCTATTACGAAGGTCGCGACATGGTGCTACGTAGCGCGGGTTACAGATCACACCGTTGCACCTACCGCGCTGAAATTTGCGCAAGTTTTAGAACAAGGATGGACAACGTGCCTTTGAGCGGTCTCGGCTCGATCGGATCGATAGCGAGCGCGTGGCGCGTGCCCAAAAAGTGCAAATTCGCGTCATAGACTTTACATGTATAAATCGGCTGGCAAAAACGGGCGAAAATGGCTAAATTTGCCCGACACGGGTCCGTTCCCCGTGCAATATCTCGGTAGCCGTGCGCCCGATCGGCACGGGGAAAACAGCATCGTGTAGAGAATCGAACGGGCAATCGAATAGTGTGCGGTGCAGGGGTGGCACGCGCCACGTGCAAGTGTGAGGGCAATTTCATTTCAAAAAGTGCCATTTTAAACGGATTTTGGATTTTATTTTATTTTCCCGTGACCATCAGACTGAGAGAGTTGAAACAACGTCAATTGCCAAGAGAAATGTACCGCCTCTCATGGAAAAATTGTGGACAGCTAATTGATCAAAAACAATGTGGAAAAATCGCTGAATTAAAATGGTATTTGTCCATAATGTGCCACTAAAAAGATACACGGGATTTGCTGCTTAACCTGATACGCTTGACAATTGAAAATGCTATCATTAGAAAGAGCATTCAATTCTCTCCAAGATCCAATCATCACGTTTGCATGACAAGCAACAGTATTCTTAAAAATATAAATGTTTTAAACCTCTGCAAAACGATTTTTAGCGAAAACTAGAGGTACAGGTTTACGCGATAACTGTATGTTTTGATTTATGTTATGTTACGGGTGCATTAGTTTTGGGTGATTGACTTGTATTTTTAGCTATATTATTTGGGTAGATTTGGGTAGCTGTTTTTAAAACTGTAAGGGATGGTGATAGTTGCGGGGTATTCAAGTGTTTTGTATGTTGGGCCCTTTTTGAACTCAACCCTACCCCTACCCTATCCTACCCTACCCTACCCTACCCTACTACCCTACCCTACCCTACCCTACCCTACCCTACCCTACTACCCTACCCTACCCTACCCTACCCTACCCTACTACCCTACCCTACCCTACGCTCCCCTACTACCCTAACCTACCCTACTACCCTAACCTACCCTACTACCCTAACCTACCCTACTACCCTAACCTACCCTACTACCCTAACCTACCCTAATACCCTACCTAACTCTACCCTACCCTACCCTACCCTACCCTACCCTACCTTACCCCTACACTACCCTACCCTACCCTACCATACCCTACCCTTACCCTACCCTACCCCTACACTACCCTACCCTACCCTACCCTACCCTACCCTACCATACCCTACCCTACCATACCCTACCCTACCCTACACTACCCCTACACTACCCTAACCTACCCTACCCTACCCTACCCTACCCTAACCCTACACTACCCTACCCTACCCTACCCCTACCCTACCCTTACACTACCCTACCCTACCCTACCCTAACCCTACACTACCCTACCCTACCCTACCCTACCCTTACACTACCCTTACACTACCCTACCCTACCCTACCCTACCCTACCCTACCCTACCCTACCCTTACCCTACCCTACCCTATCCTACCCTACCCTACCCCTACACTACCCTACCCTACCCTACCATACCCTACCCTACCCCTACCCCTACACAACCCTACCCTACCCTAGGCCTACCCTACCCTACCCTACCCTACCCTACCCTTCCCTACCCTTCCCTACCCTACCCTACCCTACACTACCACCGACAGTCCAAGTTTAAGCTAAATCCGCCCAGAAACGGCTGAGATATTGCAAAAACTAATAAGTTGTATTTACTGGCGAATCCCCTTGGCGAGCAGTGCCTTGTGTCGGCCTTCGTTGTCAAAGGTCAACGACCTCCCGGCTCTGATGCTTTTGACTCAGTGAACAACTGAGCCTAAAGCACGTGCCCTCTGCTCGGCGCCGGTCGCGGCCCCACCACGTGCACACCGCTGAACCCACACCCTCAAAAATTTAATACGACAAATGAATGCACGGGCTCGACTTTGCATGAAAATTTCACCCCCGTAGCCCTTACCGTTTCCGAGCAATAGCCTGTTTTTGCCGATTCTAATGCTAACCCTATGGCGCACATGAGCACGCGCCACGGGCGCACCCCCGGCCGCATCGTGCCCAAAATTTAATACGACCTGTTTTATTACGTGACCCACGACTGGTAAAAATTTCACCCTCCTGCGTCAATCGACGGCGCCTTAATAAGCCTTTTAGGGAGTAACCCCGACGGCGTGGGCGGCGGACTTTTTAGGATTTATAATAGTAGACTAGAGGTACAGGTTTACTCGATAACTGTATGTTTTGATTTATGTTATGTTACGGGTGCATTAGTTTGGGTGATTGACTTGTATTTTTAGCTGTATTATTTGGGTAGATTTGGGTAGTTGTTTTTAATTGAACTGTAAAGTATGATGGTGATGCATGCGAGTTGTTCGAGCCCTTTGTAAGTTAGGATGTTCCTCAATTCAACCCTACCCTACCCTACCCTACCCTACCCTACCCTACCCTACCCCTTCCCCTACACTACCCTAACCTACCCTACCTATCCTACCCTAACCTACCCTACACAACCCTACCCTACCCTACACTACCCTACCCCTACACTACCCTACCCTACCCCTACACTACCCTACCCTACCCTACCCTACCCTACCCTACAATCCCCTACCCTACCCTACCCTACAATCCCTACCCTGCCCTACCCTACACTTACACTACCCTACCCTACCCTACCCTACCCTACCCTACCCTTACACTACCCTACCCTACCCTACCCCTACCCTACCCCTACCCTACCCTACCCTACCCTACCCTACCCTATCCTACCCTACCCTACACAACCCTACCCTACCCTACCCTACCCCTAACCTACGCTGCCCCTACCCTACCCTACCCTACCCTACACTACCCTACCCTACCCCTACACTACCCTACCCTACCCTACCCTACCCCTACACTACCCTACCCTACCCTACCCTACCCCCTACCCTACCCTACCCTACTCTACCCTACCCTACCCTACAATCCCCTACCCTACCCTACCCTACCCTACAATCCCCTACCCTACCCTACCCTGCCCTACCCTACCCTACCCTACCCTACCCTACCCTATACACTGCCACCGACAATCCAAGTTTCAGCCAAATCGGCCCAGAAACGGCTGATATATTGCAAAAACAAATTTATCGTATTTACTGGCGAATCCCTTGGCGAGGGGTGCCCGGCGCCGGTATTCGTTGTCAAAGGTCAATGACCTTCCGGCTCTGATTATTTCCAGTCAGTTTTTAAGCGAACACCTGAGCCTAAAGCACGTGCCCTCTGCTCGGCGCCGGTCGCGGCCCCATCACGTGCAGACCGCTGAACCCACCCCCTCAAGAATTTAATACGACAAATGAGTGCACGCGATCGACTTACAGCGAAAATTTCACCCCCGTAGCACTTACCGTTTCCGAGCAATAGCCTGTTTTTGCCGATTCTAATGCTAACCCTATGGCGCACATGAGCACGCGCCACGGGCGCACCCTCGGCCGCATCGTGCCCAAAATTTGATACGACCTGTTTTTTTACGTGACCCACGACTGGTAAAAATTTCACCGTCCTGCGTCAATCGACGGCGCCGCAATAAGCCTTTTTGGGAGTAACCCCGACGGCGGCGGCGTGGGCGGCGGCGGACTTTTTAAGATTTATAATAGTAGACTAGAGGTACAGGTTTACGCGATAACTGTATGTTTTGATATGTATGATTAACGGATGCATTAGTTTGGGTGTAGAAACTTGCATTTTTATTGGTATGATTTTTGTAGAAGTGGGTAACTGCTTTTAATTGAACTGTAAAGTATGATGGTGATGCATGCGAGTTCTTCGAGCCCTTTGTAAGTTAAGATGTTACTGAACGCAACCCTACCCTACCCTACCCTACCCTACCCTACCCTACCCTACCCCTACACTACCCTACCCTACCCTACCCTACCCTACCATACCCTACCCTACCCTACCCTACCCTACCCTACCCCTACACTACACTACCCTACCCTACCTTACCAGTTACCACTACCCTACCCTACCCTACCTACCCTACCCTACCCTACCTACCCTACCCTACCCTACCCTACCCTACTCCTACCCTACCCTACCCCACCCTACCTTACCCTACCCTTACCCTACCCTACCCTACTCCTACCCTACCCTACCCTACCCTACCCTACCATACCCTACCCTACCCTACCTTTACACTACCCTACCCTACCCTACCCTACCCTACCCTTACACTACCCTACCCTACCATACCCTACCCTTACACTACCCTACCCTACCCTATACCTACCCTACTCCTACCCTACCCTACTCCTGCCCTACCCTACTCCTACACTAACCTACCCTAACCTACCCTACCATACCCTACCCTACCCTACCCTACCCTACCCTTACACTACCCTACCCTACCTTACCCTACCCTACCCTACCCTACCCTACCCTACCTAACTCTACCCTACCTAACTCTACCCTACCCTACCCTATACCCTACCCTACAATCCCCTACAATCCCCTACCCTACCCTACCCTACCCTACAATCCCCTACCCAACCCTACCCTACAATCCCCTACCCTACCCTACCCTACACTACACTACCACCGACAGTCCAAGTTTCAGCTAAATCGGCCCAGAAACGGTTGAGATATTGCAAAAACAAATTAATTGTTTTTACTGGCGAATCCCCTTGGCGAGCGGTGCCTTGTGTCGGCCTTCGTTGGCTCTGATGCTTTTCACTCAGTTTTCTAAGCGAACAACTGAGCCTAAAGCACGTGCCTTCTGCTCGGCACCGGTCGCGGCCCCACCACGTGCACACCGCTGAACCCACACCGTCGAAAATTTAATACGACAAATGAGTGCACGCGCTCGACTTGGCATGAAAATTTCACCCCCGTAGCCCTCACCGTTTCCGAGCAATAGCCTGTTTAATAAGTGTTTATGCCGATTCTAATGCTAACCCTATGGCGCACATGAGCACGCGCCACGGGCGCACCCCCGGCCGCATCGTGCCCAAAATTTAATACGACCTGTTGAATTACGTGACCCACGAGTGGCAAAAATTTCACCCTCCTGCGTCCATCGACAGCGCCGCAATAAGCCTTTTTGGGAGTAACCCCGACGGCGGCGGCGTGGGCGGCGGCGGACTTTTTAAGATTTATAATAGTAGATTATCTACGCCTTTCATTTGTCTTAAAACTACGCACCTCAATTATAAAGCACATTTGACAGATTTTGAAGTAAAAAGCATGCTTATCAGACACGGGCACCTCGATGCGATGGATATTCTTTCCAAACCAAATCATTTAGCCATCAAAAAGCAATCGACCGAAATGGATAGATAACCAAACCGACACAAGAACAACCAAACATCCGTCAATCGAAAATACCCCTTTTCGCGTTGCGGAGCACGCGGGTCACCCTAGTAGTACCTATATATATACTGTTATACTGATTGAAAATAAAAATGAATTGTAATTCCAGAAGTATCAAAAATGTGTAGAGAAGACCCATAACATAAATGTTCATTGTTTAAGAAAGATTCAGTATGAAAGTCAAAATGTCAATTTATAGCAGTTTAAATTGTTTTCACTATTGACATGCACGAGCATACACTTCCTAATCATAATTGTAATGGAGCAGTTTGACAGTTGGGCAAACTAGACTTTTGGAATCAAAATATGGAGGCATCAATAATTTGATTCTGGTGGGAGGAGCCATGACCAAATATGGGCATGGAATCAATTTTTTGATTCATTTTGGTACGCTTTTGACTTCAAATGAATCGTTACGGTTGAAAAAAGGCCCATGACGGTGAGATTTTTCTTTTAAAAGGTAGAAAAATGTGGTAGGTTTCCAAAAAGTGTTACCTCAAAGCTAAGAAATTGTCCCTTTGGCCTTGTGAGTGGAAAAAAGGCAGAGCCACTGTCCATCACGTAAAAGCTGTTTTGAGGAAATCACACTGTATGTTATTTTTGTATCATGAATCACATACTAACCAATCAGTATTTGTGTGAAATGGCAAAATGAAATTTTTAAACCCCTAATTATCATTGTTGTATTGCTTTTATATTATTTGTATGGTTTTTACCTGTTGCTTCAGTTTTTGTATTCTTGACATTTATAAATTGTGAATTGTTATCAAATGTAGTGAAGGTAAAGTACAACAATGCTATAGGTATCAGTTGTGGTGCTGAGGATACCACTAAATGAGAATAATAGCAAGATAAATGCTGTATTCTTGCAAGTCATTGTTGCCTATCTGTTAACATTGCCTGTGAATCAAAATAATGATTAGCCAGCTGATGGGGAATCAATATTATGATTATCTGTTTAAAGTGAATCAATTCCTTGATTGCCTTTCACTACCTATAGAATTCAAATTGTTATGATAGGAGCAATATTATTTTGCTTAGGAGATAGTTCAAGCATTTCTGTTCAAGATCAGGCATGCTCCTTCTTGAAACACTCTCTTATTTATATGTGATTGGTAAGTTAGAAATGGTCTGCATTTATGCCCAAAAGGAATCAATCTTTTGATGCCTCCATATTTTGATTCCAAAGGTCTAGTTTGCCCAACTGAGTTGTTTCTGGCCACAGCACAGAAGTTATAGGAAGATATGCTGGATGAACTGATTTATCCATTATGCAGGAAAGCTCAAACACTTTCTCTATGCTACAACTTACAATTGTGTAGAGCTGTGGCAAGTACCAGAGGATGGACAGAGAACGAGAAGGTGGGATCAGGATGTGAGGTTAAATAGGTTAAATAGGACACTTCCTGCCAAGATGGCTTTTCACACTGCTGAGATAAGAGAAGCTTTGTTGATTAATTAACTAAACAAGACAAGGATACAGAAGGAAATGCAGGTGGTCAGTGTTATGAAGAACGTTAAAAGAAAAGAGTCCTTTCCCAATCCTCCCAATCCAAATCTATCTTTAAGCAGTGCCACCGTGCTACCATCTGACAGTACAGTTAAAGTGGAGATTGAGATATTGGAGAACAGGGCAAATGTATTGTTAATTGTTTGTGAAGGGTAAACCTGATGGTGTACCCAATGGGTGGAAGGGCGGACCCGAATGAGGTTTGCCATTTGTGTACCCGTGATAATCTTGAGTTTGTGAGAAAATCGTGTGATTTATACTTTATTCAATTTTGATCACAACTGGTGCAAGGGCGACTGGTCTGTCACCAACTTGCAATAAATGAAAACATTCATCCGAGTTCCCAGTTTCACCAAATTGAAATTAAAATGATGCAGATGGGCCGTGGGAAGTCACCAACAAAACCTGGTACAATAATACCTTAAGTTGAAGTAGGTAATTCAGACAATGAGACTACAGTGTAAAAAAATATCAACTTACAAATAACTTGCCAACCACACAAATTGAAATCAAAATAACCCAAACTCCCCGTACACACTACGCCCTTTAGATTGATACGCTGGATACGCTTACCAAATTTTGTAAACAAATATCTGATGCGCCACGACTGTCGCAAATATTGACCTTTGTATAGTGATGTTCCAAAAATGTCTTTGTACTCATAACTTTACTTGTACTTTTCAACGAATTTTCGTAAATAAGAGTGAATCCACCTTCGCATGAGTCTATTGTGTATTTTTTTGCTAGGTCAAGAGTTATGCTATGCTATTTTGTTGACTTGAGTTGTTTGAAGTGCTTTTCTAAATCTAAGCACTTATTCTATTTTATCCAAAACTAAGAGTAGTATGTTCACTCACGTCAAATGAGTGATTCCATCTCTATATACTAAGGGACGGGGCCAGGGGGGTACGCTCCGGCTGTTTAGCATTACGAAAAGTGGTGACAGACGTTTGTGGAGGATTGTCGACGAACTCTTGTTCCGCGAGCAGCACTCACGCGCTAGCGGAAAATCCACCAATCAGCGCTCGGCAGTGCTCGACGCTGATTGGCCCGACGCTCGTGACGAAATTGCGGGGGACCGCAGTTATTCTCTATGGACCCCAATAGGCTTTTGGATTTCGGAGGGGTTTCTTTAAGATTATATGCTGTTTCGAGCTGTTTTCGAGTTGAAATATATTTCTTATGACTGTTAGCTATATAATGGCACCATAAAATCATGATTTTAATTAATATTACCGATGTAATATCGGCCGAAAAGTCATGCTGTCTTGGCACAGACTGCCCTGCGGCTGATGTGGGGGCTCTAGTGCCAGCGTATGGTAATAATGGGCTGACGAAGGATTATTGGAGACTCTTAGAGCCCCACCAGGATTCAGTATAGGGTCATCAGAGGCCCGGAACGTCCTTCAGGGGTCTGAGTAGGCCTGCCATAGGGGCATACATGACACATCATAGAACATGGGTCAATCTAGATCCATTAGGGGCCGTTGAAGGGCCATCATTGTTCAGCGTGGGCCCGCAATTACCTCTGATGGGCATATGCCGTGCCCCGATGGACTAACGCTGGCCCCTGATAAACCATCACCAGCCCCTGATAGGTCTACAAAGCCCCCTGCTGGGTCAAAATTGGTCACTGATATGCCCAAATGGGCCACTGAGAAACCCGTACAACATCCCCTGACTGCACCTGATGGACCAATGCCGTCCCCTCATGGGCCCACCACGGCTCTTGAATGGCCTCTTCAAGTCTCTGAAGCGCCTTTATTGGCCTAAATGGACCCCTGATTGGCTTATGTGGTCCCTAATGGTCCCCCCATGAGCCCTCAACGTCCCTAGACAGCCTTACATTATATGCCACCGGCCCCTGGTAGGCCTGCACTGGACCCACTGGGCCAATACCGGCCCATAAAGGGCCCATGTCGAGCCCTCATGGGCCTCCGATGACCACACGCCGGCATGTGTGGCCCCATCAGCAGTGGTCCGTCTATCCCATGTACTTACGGTCTTTTTGGCCGATGTGACACCGGTAGTATATAGAAATCCATGATTAAATGTCATTATTATATAGTCAAAGGTCACGAAAAGAATATCCAAGCTCAAAAATGGCCTCAAACCCAACAAAAACTGATACAAATCCCCTTCAAAAGTCATAAGTCAATGAAACGCCATAGTGGAATAGCTGCAGTCCCCCGCAATTTCGTCACGAGCATCGGGCCAATCAGCGTTGAGTATTGCCGAACGCCGATTGGTCGATTTCCGCTAGCCTGTAAATGCTGCTAGCGGATATAGTCTTGAACAAGTGAGGGTCGCGGCAACTAAATATTGCTTGTCACCACTTTTTCTTCGGGAGCGTTCTACCTGGTTTATATATAGCCTTGGACGGGGCTTGGGACGGGGTGGGTGTTTTGAATTTCCCTGTCACTGTTTACGCTTAGTTCGAGTTTGAATAAAAAGCTGGGCTGTCAGTTATGACCAGGCATTATGTATGATCGTAGGATATGTTGATCCAGGTAAAAGATCGACCTAAGCGTTGGTTGGTCCGAGGCCAACCGCTGTTGGCGGGTCAGCGTGAGGCCCAAAAGGTCAAAGGACAATAAAAAGGGAGGGTCAAAGGGATTTTGTATCACCATTCTCGAATCTCGAAGCTGGTAGTGAATATATCCGCTACGTTGGCACATCATGCGAGGTCAGGCCGGATCAGGCCAAGGCCAGGTCAGGTTATGCCGATGCAGATCAGGCAATGACCCCGGGGGCCGGGGCTGTAACCCTCTCCGCCTCTGGTGGGCCGCCTCTGGTGCGGTCGTAGTGATTTCCCTGTCCTCAATCCATACCAGGATAGTGTGGATACCAATGACACTGACGCTTCTTTGCAGGTCGAATCCTGACCGCTCTATTGTGACTGGCACAGGGGTTGTCGCGAAGAAGCTGCAGTAATCTGAGCGGAACGGAAACGTCCTCCAAAATGGTAAGTTGAAGTGTGCATAGTGCATTCCAACCAACACTTGTTTTCACAAATACAACTCATGTCAATTGATGCACAGCTCCTGGGCTCAGTCCGATTTGAGTTGAAATAGGTATGTTGAAAATGATGCGGCAAGAACATGCCAGGTATGCGAGAGGTGAGCCTGGTCAATGGTAATCGCCCTCCGTGACTAATGGTTGTCACTTGAACTAAATTCGGTCGCATTCGATCCCACCTGCCGCCCCGTTATTGTCCGCTACCGCCACCTGCGTCAGTGCAGTTACCCATTCGTCCGCCTGGCGGCGCCACGATCGAGCTCTCGCCGATCGTCGGACGGGTCGCTGACGTCAGTCTGCCCCGGGGCGCCGGCGCGTCGGTTCAATATTGCCTCTGGTGAGTGTCGGTCGGGACGGTGCCGGCGGCCAGCGGCGACCACCTGGCAGTGGCGCGAGGGGGCGTGTGGCGCGCGGCGGCGGGGATCCGGTGCTGTCAGGGGTGCCGGTCAGGACACCTGAGGGAGACAGGAGCTACAGGTAAGGACTAGGGTTGTGATTTATGCCAAGGTCTGGGTACTTTTGTGCAGAGGTGCTTAGTTGTTGAGTACCCACTCAATTAAGCTCCATGATGTCGCTGCGGGCGGGTTGTGGAGGACACAATCCCGTATGTCCATCGTGAGGTGTCGCCGGTCCGTTGGCCCGCACAGCCCCTGGCGACCAGCTGTGACCGGTCAGCCAGCCTTGGCCCACTCGCGCCACCGGCGCCAATCGGCGCGTCGTTAGTCGTTACCGACACCTGTCGACGGCTCAATCGTCGCGGGGCGCCTCCGAGACAAGTGTGGCGTATTAGCTCGCTGCCCGGCGGGACTCGGCGCGTGGTGGCCAGTGTCGGCAGTGACCCCGCTATGGAGACCCGCTCGGCACAGTTCGTCGCCGAACGAGACGCCGGCTGACGTAAGCAAACGCCGCCACGTGCAGGTTTTACGGCTAGCTGCTGTGACGGGTGTTGGTCAGGTGCATGGTCAAATGGTCGCACGAAACTGTTCTAATAAGCCCGCTTGTGGCGGTCCCTGCTCTGGTGTATATTTGTGGATTGTTGGACGTGATTCGCCATCGGGTCGAGAGCGCGCCAGCCCGTCGGTGGCCGGGCTGCCGGGCGGCTGATCACTCGCTCCCCTCCGTTGCCGTCCTGTTTACGCTGCCGTCGCTCCCCGTCGTTCCCGGCGCTCCCCCGTGCCTTCTGTCGCTCCCCCTGTGCCCGTCCCGTGCCTTCCGGCTCCCCCTGTGCCCGTCCCGTGCCTTCCGGCTCCCCCTGTGCCCGTCCCGTGCCTTCCGGCTCCCCCTGTGCCCGTCCCGTGCCTTCCGGCTCCCCCTGTGCCCGTCCCGTGCCTTCCGGCTCCCCCTGTGCCCGTCCCGTGCCTTCCGGCTCCCCCTGTGCCCGTCCCGTGC